AAATAGACAAAGATAGAAATAGTAGAAGAAGAAGAGAATAAGAGAGAAGAGATACGCCGTTAAACCCATCATCTTATTCATTCACTTGAGCCCTATATATATTGAATATAATGTACATGAGTAAATACCTAATGGACTCCTGGCCCATGCCTACAAATCCTATATCTAGGTAATGTCCACAACTTAATATTTACAACATAATTCACAAAATTTTATATGTTACTTTAGCCGATCATGCAATTTGATTTATTAATATCTTGTAGTATTAACTAATATATTGGTATTGGCCCATTTTTCTCTTTTGCGTCAGTATTAGGGCTGTAAACGAGCCGAGCCGAGCTCGAGCTTATGGTGTTTGAGCTCGAGCTCGAGCTCTTAACGAGCCGAGCCGAGCTCAGCTCGTTAAGTAAACGAGCCAAAAATCAAGCTCGAGCTCGGCTCGTTAAGGCCTCGAGCTCGAGCCTTAACGAGCCGATCTCGAGCTTTAAAGAGCCGAACTATAAAAAATTACATAAATTTCACTTTTCGAGCCTTAACGGGCCTTATCGAGCCGAGCCGAGCTCGGCTCGTTAACCAAACGAGCTTTAAATGAGCTCGAGCTCGGCTCGTTAAGGCTTCGAGCTCGAGCCGAACCGAGCCTTAACGAGCCGAGCTCGAGCCGAGCCGAGCCAGGCTCGTTTAATTTAACAGCACTAGTCAGTATCATCAAGATTCTAAAAATGTGGGGCCCACACTTGAAATGCTGCTCTTTGGGACCCGTTTTTTAGGAGGAGAAAAAGTGCGAACCCACGGCCCAATTAATTACTTGCTTTGGAAAATGTCAGAGAAAAAAAAAAAAGGAGAAAAATAATGGGAAAAAGAAAAAAGTTTTTTTTTTTTTCCTCTGACGTTGCCATCTTTTGTTAGATTTTATCATAATGATGAGAAAAATGTTGAGAGGGATCGGCCAAAAATTATTGTAGGGCCATTACCTGCAATTCTGCAAAAATTGAAGCCCCATTTTAATAAATAAATAAATTTATCATTTGATGTAAAGTTAAACAATAAAATAAATTTTCTTGTCCACCTCTATTTTTTGGTCCGTGAAAGAAAGTGTACTTTTGTGATTGGGTGTGATATTGTTGGGATGTTCATAAAAATTAAAGTGAGCTCGAGATACATAATGTATAATAATTAATTTTAATGCGATCAAAAGATAGTAAAAAAGTTGTAATTTGTAGTTATAAATATATGGATTAAAGAATAATACTGTTCTAAAAATCGGCCTGGGCGGTGCCCAGCCGTCTTCGATTTACACAAATCGGTCAAAAAAATCGGTCAGGCGGGCGCTCCTAGACAAACTTGGTGGGCTCAGCGGCCAGGCGGTTAGGCGGCGCCTAGACGGACCTAGGCGCTCATATGGGTTCGGCGGTAATTTTCTATATTTTTTTTAAATATTAATTGTATTATTTTATTCTCATGTTTTCTTTAAAATATATGAGTACTATTATTTGGACTTATGTGTGTGGATTTATTATAAGTTGAGATAATTTTATTCTATAGGTAGTTAAAATAAATAAAAAATAAGGTATTTAATATTGATTTTAGGCCCCACCTAGGGGCTCGACCAGCGCCTAACAACTTTTAGAACACTGAAAAATAGTAAATTGCATCGAGAAATGTTTATTTATGATTGATTTGTATTTTGGAAATTGTGTTAAGAAAATTGATTAAAAAAAAAAAAAAAAAAA